TAGGTTCAAGCAAATGAGAGAAAGGTGTGTGCGGTGTATCCACCACTAGTCCTAGCATGAGTTCCTTGGGGGAGAACTTAAGTGCCGGCATGATCCTTTCGTTGAGCTGTGATATTGCCATGTTGAAGTGGTCGGGCCACCCTTTCGGTATCGATTCTGGGAGTACATCGAGAGAGTTGTCTCCTCCGAGGTTGGGGGTGCATGCTCTCTTGAGTCGACCTAATAGAATCTTATTAGCGCCTTCTACCAACCCATTGACCCACAGTGAGTAAGCTGGGGTAACGTGTCATTCGACACCATGAGTGTCACACCAGTCAGTGACCTCCCTGTTGTCGAAGTGTTTGCCCCCATCTGTCATGAACTTCTCCAGTGTGGTGAACTCGTGTCGGATTTTGTCCAGACTGTCGATCGTCGTTTTGGCCGTACCGTGTGTCTTGAATTTGAATCCCCAGATGTATTGCGAATATACATCTATGATTAGTAACACATTAGTATATCCACCCTTACCTTTTGGCAGTGCCAGATAGTCCGCTACAAGTAACTTGAACGGGTGTCTTCAAACGATTGGTTCCAACAACGAGTGTAGGTGTGTCGCTCCGAAGTTTTTACACTGTCCACAATCCAGAATGGCGTCAGTAACGATTCTATCTAAACGAGGGCAAAAGATCTTATCCATAAGCTTGAGCTTGATCAGGTCGCGTCCCCAGTGTCCATTTTCCTTGTGCTCCTGATATGCGAGATCTTGAGCCTCTTTTCGCGTGGCGCATTCCAGTTTACTGTGGGCTCTGTTTGCTGAGGTGTTTGCTACTCTCCAGAGCTTGCCTTCCACAATGAAGAAGTTCTGTGCTCGGTGCCGAGCCTTTCGTTTGTCGCAAATGGTTTTGCTCAGGTCTAGGTCCAGAAGGGCTTGGATGATGTCGAGGAAAAAGGTGTCGTTGTTGAACCATTGGATGAGGTGCAATGTGTCTGAGGGCTTTGTTAGTGTAGACTGTTCTGTAGTAGGGACGTTTACCGCTAGTAGATCCTGGACTATTCCTCTCGCTGCCTCCCAGTCCTCGCTGACAGTCCAGGTGCTTCCATCCTCAGCAGTTGGGTCTGTTGTGCTGAAGCTTCTGCTTAGTCCATCTGCGGCTGTGTTGCTTGTTCCAGGTCAGTGTCGCATGTCGACGAGGTGGTATGCGAGTATTCCGTCATGCCATCATGCATGGGCTATTCCTAGCCTGGGACTAAGTAAGGTGTTGCGCAGGGCCTGGCAGTCCGTCTCAATCTCCACAGGTGTGCCCCAGATTGTGTCTGAGAACTGATCTAGTGCAAACTTTAGCGCAGCGAATTCTAGAATATATGGTTTGTACTTAGCTTCGGTTGGAGATGTGCACTTGGATGCATATGTGATTGGGTGCAGTGCTGTGATGACTTTACCTGATGGCAAGGTGGATGTGTGTTTCTGTGCTAGAATAGCACCATATCCATCCTTGCAACCGTCTGTGGTCACTACAAAGGGAGTTCCGTCAAAGCGAGGGCCTTTGAGGACAGGCTCGGATGTTAGGATTCTCTTGAGCGCCATAAAGGCTTTGGTGTGTCGTGGCCCCCGGTGTTGATATAGCTTTGTTAGTCGAAGATGTTGTCAGTACTTGCGCTTGCCCACTTGAGGCCCTCCCGGTGGAATTCCCAGTTTCCGTACTAAGTCTGTCAATGGGGCTGCGATTCTCGCGTAATCCTTGATGAGGGACCTGAAATAGCCAGTTAGCCCTAAGAACTGCATAAGATTGTGAACGGTATTGGGTATTTCCCACTGGACTACCGCTGCCAGCTTAGCCTTGTCTGGTTTGATGCCATCTGTTCCTACCTGAGCTCCTGCAAACACGACCTCACTCATGAATAGTTGTGTCTTGGATGGTGATAGTGACAACCTCATTTTCCTGACTCGCTCAAAGAACTTACGGAGTCTCTTCAGTTTATTGTCGAAGTCGCTGCCTGCCATCCCTGAGTCGTCAATGTATAGCTCGTAGAGTAGCCTGATTTGATCCTTAAGACTGATGGCCGCCATGGCTCCAAACGTTGTGGGTGCTCCTGTTAGTCCGAAAGGCATTCTGCAGTAACATTCATACCCTCTTCCTTCTGTGTAGAACGACAGATAGGGCTGTGTATCCTTGTCCACTGGTATCGCATAGAAGCCAGCCGCGAAGTCGATGATACTTACCCATCGATGGCCACATAATCTCTGCTGTTTCGCCCTGATGTCCCCTTGTGGCACTGGTGGAATCTGGGACACTCGATTGATCTCTGCAAAGTTTTGGCACACCCTCCATTTGGGCAGTGCGGTTGCTCCGGTCTTGCCTTCTTCCATTGGGGGTGGTCTTGGAGGTAAGTCGTCCCGTACTGGTAGACTGTGTTGTCGACATTGATCGTTGACTCGGTGAAGTAGTTCCTCAAAAGACAGTCCTTCCGAGTCATGTGCCTTCTGGGCCAACACCATTGGGCTTGCGGCCTTAACGTCTTCTGGGGCTACCCTTCGTATGATACCGGCCGCTTCAAGCTCATTGAGTCGTTCATAGAGATATTCTCATTGCAGGGGCATTAATGGACGTTGGTTGACCTTAGTGGAAAAGGTGGTGCCTTCTGGGAAGGTAAGTTTGAAGGTCTTGAAGGTCACAGGGTAGACTTCGCTAACTGCCAGAGCAAATGTGTCAGTGAATTCCTCACATAGAGCATGCACCTGTTGTCTCTGTTCTTCTGACAAATCCTCTCCTATCGTGATGGATCGCATCACTTCTGCTACCCGCTCTGGTTTGAATGGGTCCAAATGACAAGTGAACACGTTGGTGGTTTGTGTTGACTTCGGAAAGTTGGGGATTTCACCCAGGACTTTGTTGGTGTCCGCGTGTACCTGCCAGACATGATTTTCCTTGTCGTCTTGTGCGTTCGGTGTGGACTCTAGAGGGAACAAGACTGGTGAACATGGTGCATCTGATAAGGGTGTGGTTGCCATGGATATTACTGGGTGTTTGTTGGCTACCACAATGTGCGCTCCTGCATTTGATAAGGCCATTGTGTATGCGTCCAGTTGATGTTGGGTTACCTGTGGGGTTAGTTCAAAGACATACTGTTCGTTAGCCAATACTTTCTGTGTCTTCTCGTCATCAGCTGGGATGGAGGCGATAAGGAACCTTGGGGCTACTGCAGCAAAAGCCAGTTGTGCAGGTGGCATAGGTGGCGGTGCTGGGGTTCCTGGCAGTGGTGCTGCCTGTGTGTTGTACATGTTAGTAATGATAACTGGGATAGGAGAAGAAGGAAGAGAAATCTGGTCTGTTGCGTAGTCGTGTACCGCGCTGAGTTGTTCCAACAGAGGCTTGCCAATTAACATCTTCCATACACCTCCACTGTCAAAAACCTCGAATGATGTGGCAACTGTTACCGATCCCCATTTTAGAGAGCCTTTCCAAACACTTTGTGATGGCACAAGCAATCCATTGGCCATACACAGAGTATGGTTTGAAGGTACGAGTCGTCTGAGTCGTCCAGCTGCTTGGTTGAACACTTTGGTGTCGATCGCGTTAACCATGGCTCCATCATCCACATTTGCTTGAAAGCACGATGTTTTGCCTTTGGGTCCATACAGGAGGACTTGAGTGACGAATGGTTTGCTCTCGATGGATGTGCTAACGTTGTGGTTGATGGTATATAGGTTTGTTATCGTCTTCTTGCTCCTGCCCAAGCACAAGTCAGTGTGTTGTATTTCAACCAAACTAGGTACAACACTTAGTGAATTCTCGGTATGTACAATGCTAGATAACAATGTGAAGCTTTCTGTGCTCAAGGTAAGGTCATCTGTGTTTGACTCTGCAGACGAAGGAGGCGAGGTAGGAATGGGAGAGAGAACTGGTAAATCAAAATCAGGTACAGTAGACAAATTAGAATCAGAACGCAAGAGGGAGGTAACCGATGGGGAAACAATTTCTTCAATCTCTAAGATAGGCACAACCAAGTCCTCATCAACTTCGTCAATGCTGACTGGACCGTCCGTTTTGGTCATGGTGTGTGATATAGGCGCAGAAAGGGAATCAAAATCAGAAGTCCTTGCTAATACTAGTGCAGATAGGAGGGAAATGCCGTCAAACAAATCTGTCGTTGCGATTGGCGATGACCATTCTGACGCGATGCTAGAATCAGTTGATGTGTTGCGAGGTATGTCCAATTCAGGGGTTTCAAGGACTGCAGGGTACTCCCTCACTGTTGCAGTCCATAGTCGTTTCCCAGAGATCATGGTACATGGGGTATCCTTCATAGGCCTGTTGCCTGTAATAGCTCGGCTCCAGATACCCCGGTGTACCAGGGTATGTGGGAAGCGAAGGATAGTAGCTTGGTGGTATGCTAGTTGGTGCCACATACTGGACAGCTGCTGGCAGTGAGAATGCCGATCCTGCCATGTGTCCCGCTAATCTCGACACAATCTCTCTCCAGCGACTCTCCTGCGCTGGGAGTGCATTGTTGGTGCATTCCGTTGATTGGTGAAATGGGACTGTGTTCATTCCGCAAGCGAAGCACTCTCGTGATCCCAGTGGTGCTGTGCCCGGCTTTAATGGGTAGGGCCTGTCAGTGTTAGGCATTGCGGTGGCTCCATGTTGGCCATGCCAGTCCTGGACTTGTTGTGTGTATGCTTGGCGCCCTGCCTCTGTGTCTGGGTGCTGCAGTAACATCGAATATTGTGCTGCTATACGCATGCGGTCTCCCAGGAATACACCTCTGCCTCGAGAAGGCATTTGCGGATATCCGCACCCACTGTAGAACAGGTTGCTTCTTGCCATAGGAGTTGTGGTTGAGAACGTGTTGTACTGTCCTTGTTGCTGAGGTGTCTGTGGCTGGGGTGGTAGGGGTGGTGGTAAGAGAGGTCCTGGTGGTGGGAGCTGTTGTGGTTGTTGTGGTTGCTGCTGCTGCTGCAGTTGTTGTTGCTGCTGCTGCTGTTGGAACAGGATCATCGAGTACCGTGGGGCAGGTCGATATTAAGACCAGGGCATCGTTGTTGCTTGGGTTGCTGGTTGAGGGGTGGGGGTCGGCGTCTTCTTCTGTCCACTGGCCTGGGCCTGCAGGCGGTCTACGTCTTCCCTCAACTTCTTCTCCGTTTCAAGTTGCTGCTTTGCCCTTTGTAGCTGTGAAGACGACAACCTGCTCACGTCAGTGACGAAGTCAGGCCACGACGCATACTGCTCGGTGAGAAGGTCCCTGAGAATAGCTGGTGTGCCCTCCAGGATGACATCCAACAACAAGCATCTTGAATCCCCGAATCCTTGCGCCGTCCTCTCGATCTCCTTCGCCCACTTCACATGTCCCCATTCTCGTCCTCTATCCTTCTCAATCATCCGTCCAATATCCTCTTCCTTCAAGGTAATAGTCTTGATACGATCCTTTTGTTGCGCTAGCATGAGGGTGACATGTACTGGTGGGGGCCATCGTGCCGTGAACACCAGGGTGAACGTTGCCCATGTGGCCTTACTTGCTGATGGCAGGTTCTGCACCCAGACCTCTGCCATGCTCCCTGCAGTGCACTGCAGCTCGAAACGGTTGATCTTGTCTTGGTCGCTGAAGGTGCTGGGTAGGGACAGTCTGTACTGACGAAACCAGTCGGTAGGTTCCCCTTCTTTCTCGTAGTCGCCGTAAAAACTCGGTAGCGGTGTGATGGTTGCCATTGCAATTGCCGCAGGTGGGGGAATCGTCGTAGGAACGGAAGCAGTGGTCAAAGTGATGGTTGGAGGTTGTGTTACTGTCTGCGGGGCTGCGTTAACCCGCTGTTGAATAAACCTAAGGTTAGCTTTCAAATGGTCGATGGTTTCTGCCTTCGGAAGTTCTTGTGTGATGTTAAGGGAACAAATGGTCTTAGATGCTGAAAAATCCTGAAAGCTGATCTTCGTTTGGTTTTGAGGTGGGGAGAGTTGAGAATCAGATACTATTCGTCGAAGTTGGGGTGTCATCGTCAGATGGTCTGTTGGTAAGTTACGCAAATGACACAGGTCATCTAGGGTGATAGCTGTGGTGAGTGGACTCACTCTAGTCACCAGGTGGAATGGTGACAGAAGTGCCCTGATGCCCTGTGATATGGTAGAGGTAATGTATCTCTATGTACTTCGATGGTTCAAGTCTGCTCTCGGCAACTCCCGAACTCCTAACAATTCCAAACACCCCTGATCTCTACAACCCCTAAGTCCTATAACCTTGCAGCTACAGTCCCCTCAAGCCCTACCCAACCAGATAGATCAAGCCCAAACCAAGCCCAAACCAAACACAACTGCCACAGTGCAAACCCTCGAAGGCCCAGCGACAGGGCACGCAGGCAATGGCCTCACTGGCCTGGGTGCAGGGTGCACTTTCTTTTGTACCTCCACGACCTCAACCTCAGACTCGCCAGAGTCGTCGGCATCATCAGCCGTGGTCGGCTGTACCATTGGCACGCGTTCTTCAGCCACGCAAGGCACTTTGCATGCAGGCCTGGCAGCCTCAGGCGCCTTGCATTTGGTAGCTATAAGCAATTATTAGAACAAGAGAACTAAAAACAGAAAGACGACTTACCAAAGTTGCACGCCCTGTGCGAGCGCTCACAAGGTCCACAGCACACATTCTTGCCCTGCAAGCATTTTATGCCGTGCTGGATGCAGTTCTCACAAGGAGGGTCGAGCGTCTTGGGGCCAGTTGACATACACCCCCCAGCCTTCTGTCAAACACAAATCAAGAGTCAGCCAGACGTGACAGAAAAGGTAGAAATATACTCACAGGCTTACCCATGTCTGGGTTCTCCTCCCTCTCCTTTCCCTTTCCTTTCTCCTTATCTGCGCGAGCCACGCACACATCCGCCATGATCGCCTCCGCCGCTTCCTTCGAGCCGCTCACCGTCTTCCATGCCACCGCCACCCACTTGTTCAAATCCTGGAGGTCCTCCTTCTCCTCATCTCCGATTGGGAGCAATGTCTCGGCCTTCAGTGTGTCGTGCATGCAGACGCATGCATTAGCCTGAAGATGAGTCCCATCAATCAATAAAAACACATGAAGATGTGTGCCACTCACCTCAAAATGCGCCCATTCACAGAGCCACAATTCAATGTCCTCCAGATGCTCTTGGAGGAGCTCTGGACGCGAGCCCAAAAGTATGCCAACCGACGGCAACAGCGTGTTCCAGATGCAGAGCACGCGGTCACCCTCAGATTCGACGACAGGCGCAGGCTCAGGAATTTTCTGAGCCAGCTCATCGAGCATTGGCGCAGCCTTGACAGGCGCCTGAGCCTCAGGTGAAGGCGAGCGAGGAGGGTGAAGTAAAGTTAAATCAAAAGTCGACATGATGAAAAGAAGTATATCGCGGTTAAGGCGAAAGATGAGAAGAACAACACATTGCCATGTAGCGCTCTTTTAAATGCGCTAATTCCTGAGGTCATGAGGCCAATCGCCAGCACTTCATTTTCGGAATACAGACCACAATCATGTGACACCTCTCATCAAAATTTCTCTAAGTCCATTCGCATGAATGCGCGCACGCTGATTGGGGACAGTCAGATTTTAAAGTCTCCCACTGTTGTAGAGCCTCACATCTCCACAGGCACTTCCCTCGAATTCTCCCACATTCCCTACACACTCCAGCTCTAATCCCAAGGATACATCTTGCACAGTAGCGCTTCATATATTTTACTTTGCAGATTCCGCGCGCAGCCACTTGCACTTCGCGCGCACCACACATCCACATTAGCATCATCCACATACCCGTCCATCTGTCCTCCCCATGTCCTTAGATGTCCATTGGTGCATTTTCTCACTATATTCCCATTTTGACTAATTGTTTCCATTGCTAATTCTTGGCCTAGCGCTACGTGCGCAGCCGAGACCCTATTACTTATCTCACATACTATATTTAGCTTACTCGGCTCGCTACATCGGACCTGTGTGCCTAGCGGTGCTTAGCCATCTTTACATATACTATCTCTTTACTCTATTTTCGAGGTTGATTTTCCACCTGTCACAACCCAATAACAAATTAACGCTGGGTCGAAGACTAGGACTCAAACAAGGTTATCGGACAAAGAGGATAATGAGCAGGTACGTCTTGGATTGCTACAATGTAGATACAAGAGGTTTGAACTAAGGAACTATCTACCAAGACATGCTAACTATATACAACTATTGAGACGGAGATTGAAACTGAGTTACAACTACTAGCCAATCATAAAAAGAGAAAGGGAATCGTACCATAGAACATCGTGGAATATTACAGAAGCATCACTGTGACTGTATCTTTATCTTATCTTATCTTATCTTATCTTATCTTATCGTATCGTATAATCTAATCACAATCAAAGAACTCGTCTTCTTCATCAGTCACATCGAAGACACGTGTTGTGGGCGCTAGTGGAATCTCTGAACTGGTAGACGCTTTCGGGGTAGGGTTAGGGTTTGTCTTAGACGCTGTGTATTGGCGCTTAGGAAGATTCAAGAAAGAATAGTGGTTTGTTAAAGGTACTCGTGACATTACCCCCTCTCTAAGGTGAGTGTCATCACGAACGAATGAAGGTCGGATATTCTTTTCTCTCCATCGTTTGAAATCTTCCGTAAACAGTACTGAGCCCTTGATTCTTTGGTATTTTCCGGCTGCAGCCGTGGGATTCTTTTTATGGAACTCTGCTAAAGGAATTGGAGCGTTCTTCAAATTTTCTTCTGGCTCCCAAGATGACTCTTCCTTCGGGTATCCTTCCCATTTCACTAGGTACTGCAGTTTTCCTCAGAACAATCGGCTATCTAGTACTTCTTCTACAGCAAATTCTTCCCGATCGTCAATCAATTCTGGAGGTGGTCGGTTTGGAGGAGGATGAGGAATCAATCGAGATGCGTGATATGGCGTAAGCAATTCTATGTGGAAAACCGGGTGGATCTGATATTTTTCCGGCAATTTCAACTTGTAGTTCACTTCACCGATCTTCTCTAGTATTTCGAAGGGACCTAGACGACGATCTGACAGCTTTTGACTCGGACGACGTTGTTTAAGATTTTTTGCGTCAAGCCAGACCTTGTCTCCTATCTTATACTGAGGTGCTTCTTTTACTCCTTTGTCGTAGAAACGCTTCATGCGCTCATTGACCATCTTAAGAGTATTTTCGGCATCATCTCTCGCTTCTTTCATTTGATCGACTCTCTCATCTGCGGCGGGGATTACGGACATAGAGTTTGGATGAATCATGAAATCTGGGTTATACCCGTAGAGGACTTTAAACGGACTGTGACCGGTTACTGTGACTGCATTGTTGTGTGAAAACTCTGCTATCGGCAGCCAAGATACCCAATCATTCTGTCTGTATGACGTGAACATGCGCAAGTATTGTTCGACTTCTTGATTTACGCGTTCAGTTTGTCCATCGGTTCTGGGATGATAGGAGGTCGACGCAGACCATTTCGTTCCTAATCTTTTTGACATCTGTCCCATGAACTTCGATATGAACTGAGTTCCTCTATCTGAGATCACTTTCTTTGGTGTTCCATGATGTTTCCATACATTTTTCAGAAATAGCTCGGAAATACCCTTCGAGTCTACATCTTTGGTGGTGGGAATGAAGTGTGCTTGTTTCGAAAATCGATCAACGACTACAAAAATGCTATCACACCCTTCACTCTTCGGCAAATCCACTATCAGGTCACAGGTGATTGTCTGCCAAGGTCCTTCTGGGACTTCATTTGGCTGTAAAGGCCCCGTTGGTCTACTCGGAAGCACTTTCGTTTGTTTGCACCTATCGCAACCATCTACGTAATCGTGGACATACTTCGTCATTGAAGGCCACCAATAGTTTCTGGAAATTAACTCTAAGGTTTTAGCTCGTCCAGGATGTCCAGCCGGTGGAGAGTCGTGAAACAACTCCAATATCTCTCAGCGGATCTCTTTATCATTTGGAACGTAAACTAATCCTCGGAATAACACCAATCCATCCTCTACATTCCACTCTTCGATTCCTCTACGCAATTGAACCGGTGCTGCTTTTAACGTTTCTAACGCTCTAGCGACTTCAGGCTCTCGTTCTGTGCATTTTCGTATCTTTTGGAGTAACTTTCTCTTCTCCATGCACCAAAACTTGACCTCTTTTAGCAGCTTTTACGGTAAAGAATTCCGGTTTCAAAAGAATGCGATTTGAGTTATCGTTTTCTACCCCCCCTCTATGGTCTGATCTCCGAGAAAGACGGTCTGCTTTGTCATTAACCACGCCAGGCTTGTGTTGGAGTGTAAATTCATACTCCGCTAGGAAAAGACTCCATCTAGCTTGCCTTCTGGTCAACTTTTTGACTCGTCATGAAATATTCAAGGTTCTTATGATCCGTCCATATCTCAACCGGGTGAGGTGCTCCCTGCACATAGTGCCTCCACTCCTCCAACGCTCTAATGATCGCTAATAACTCTTTATCGTGAATGTCGTAATTTCTTTCCGCATCATTCATTGACTTCGAGTAGTATGCTATTGGATGCCATAATCCATTTTCCATCAGTTGAGAGAGAACTGCTCCTGTTGCGTAATCGGAAGCATCGGTCTCTATTTTCTTTTTCTTCTCAACATCTGGCATGACTAAGACGGGAGCTTCTGTGAAACGTTTCTTCAGTTCATCAAAAGCTTTCTGTTGTTTTTCCGTCCAGTCCCATTTGACATCTATTTCTTAGCAGATCATTCATTGGTCTGGCTATCTCCGAGAACCCAAGTATGAATCTTCGATAGAAGTTGGCAAAGCCCATGAATGCTTGTATATCTTTTACGCATTTGGGAACAGGCCATTTCAATACTCCTTCTACTTTCACAGGGTCCATCGACACATTGCCTTCCTCCACGATCAACCCGAGGAACTCGACTTTAGACTGTTCGAAGCTACATTTCTCAGGCTTCAAGAACAGGTCATTCTCCTTCAACCGTTTCAGGACTTCTCGTACCACCTTTCGGTGCTGCTCCCTATTTCCATTCGTAAAGACCATTATATCATCAATGTAGACGACTACTGTTTTGCCATCTATCAGGTCTCTCAGAATTTCATTCATCATAGTTTGGAAGGTTGCAGGCGAGTTCGTGAGTCCAAAATACATCACGGTCGGTTCATGGTGACCAAACGGCGTTTTGAAGGCCGCCTTCCACTCATCTCCTTCTTTCATGCGAATATTGTTGTACCCCCATCGTACATCCATCTTAGAGTACATCGTGGCACCGGTTAAAGCATCAATCAAATCTTGAGATCTCGGTAGCGGATACTGCATTTTTCACCGTCTTCTCATTGAGCTTTCTATAGTCCATCACCGGTCTTAACTTGCCATCTTTTTTGGCCACAAAGAAGAAAGGTGCTGCTACTGGAGATTGTGAATTTCTGATACGTCCCAGTGCAGTCTCGGTTTTCAACCATTCCTTCAGTGTATCCATCTCTTTAGGTGACAACGGATAGGGTTTCGCATTTGGCGGAAGATCGCCCTCATCTTTAAGATCTATCGCATGATCCCACTTCTTTCTTTCAGGGAAGCGCTTAGATTCTTCTTCTGAGAAAACTCCCAGGTAATCATGAAGCCAGTCAGGTACCATTTCTTCTACCGACTGCTTCTTCTTAGTAGCTTCTTCTGCTACCTTCTGCTCCGTGGCGACCGAGGCTTTATATCGAATCCATAATCTTTCAGGACTCTCTTCATCTTCTATTTCCTCCATGGTCATTCTCTTAACTGCCACGTCTTCTTCTTCATCTTGATCTGCCATCACAGGCAACAAGCCGGGTACGTCATCGACTTCTTCCGACTTTTTCTTCTTCTCAGCCCTGTTTCGGAGTCTTTTCTCCTTCTTAGTTTCACATTTCACCAGGCACCGTGAAAGCGAAAACTTCCCTGCATTCCAATCAATCTCAGGGTTGTGGAATCTCAACCAATCGATCCCAATGATCACATCATCGCTTCCTAGATCTGTAACCATGAATGCTACTTTTTCTTCTTCATGGTTGCCTACTTTAAGACCTAGTTCGGCGAAATGAGTCATCGATCCCGAGGCGTTAAGAGATCCATCGATGTTTTTAACCTGGATCGGACGCAGCAATTTTCTACAACGAATTCTGTTCTCCTTGACAAATTGTTCGTTGATAAAGAGTGTAGATGCTCCACAATCTACAAGAGCTTTCAAATCTGCAGATTTATTCTTTCCTTTCAGCGTAATGGGAAGATAGAAGTGTTCTGATTTTGTTTTTAGGTTCACTTCTTCTACATCCGCAAAGTTCGCAAGGATCGAGTATCTACTGCCCGACTTGTCTGTCTCTTGTTCCTCTAAGATTTTATTTCTTCGAGAAGCTTCCCATTC